GGGGGGGGGGGGGGGGGAGAAAGGCGAAGAATGGGTGCAGAAATTGTCGCTCACGCACTTCTCCTCGGTCTCTGGTGCTGTTTTCCGAAGGTGGACGATCTGCCTCAAATATCTTACCCTCTTCTCCTTCTTCTTAAATCCTCATCTCCAAACCAAAACCAGTACCCCCATCGACATCTTTATTTTCGTGCGCTACCACATCCCAGCAGCAACGCGTGAGATTAATACCTTATTTCTGCGCCGGTCTACTTTTGATGCTGACTTTTTTTGCTGGGAAAATTTTCTCCAACTTAGTGGCCTCTTGATCTGTTGGTTAGCTTTTTTTTTCAAAATGAAAAATCGGATGTGGAATATGGAATAGGGAATAGCGACTTTGGGATTCGGGACTCTCTGACCGCATCTTCTTGCTCGCTCTTCCTTTCCTGCTTGTCTGCCTGCCTGCCTGGAGGAGGCGAGAGGAGTGATCGCACCGGTTGATCACAGGGAAGGGATGTTTGACTGGGGACCAAACTTGTAGGACTGGCAAGCAGGATTCTGAGATCAGCTAGCAGTAGTCTAGACTAGGTTAGGGGGTTGGGGTGATGGGGAGGGGGCTCGATATGGCGCCCTGGGAGTGAGTGAGAGAATGAGTAAGGCGAGTGGAATCACATATGGGCGGGCAGGCGGCCGGGCTAGTATCGTATCTAACTAGTATCTATCCATCTATCTATCTACCTACCCATCTACCCTTCCACCCGTCTATCTAACTACTAAGTTAGTGGCAATGAAGCGCACGAAGAACACGAGAAGTGTGAACCGGACACGACGGAGTCGAAAACTCGTTGTTCCCATAATCCTTGATCTCATCATCCTATAATCCAATCTAGTTCAATTCAACTTAGTCTAATCTGGAGGGGTGAAGAAGTGATACATCCAAGTCCGTATTACTGGCAGTATAATTACAGCTAAGCAAGCTAGGTACAGAGTACTACTGTATCCGCTCGCTGACGCTGAAAGTCGAAGTGGAACGTCAAGATCCACTTCCCTACATACATTCCCTTCATGAGATACGGCAGCGTAGATAATACAGTGGCGGTCTGCCCGCCTACCCGCCCACAAACGCGAGCATGTCTACCACCTCTCTATACACGGGTACACACTTACAACCTTTCATTAATCGCTTACTTCACCTCATTCAAACCAAGGAAACAAAACAAACAATAGATGCAAAAGGCCGGCCCAACGCCCTCGCTATATGCAGTGTGGCAAACCAAATTCTTCCCGTAAATGATTGACTCACTAATGTAAAACATTTACATCTTCGCCCAACGACGAAAACGCCTTGGGAACACTGACTTTCAGACTCCCCCAGCTATTTCCTCTCTTCTCTCGAATCGGAAAGCGAGGAGGCGTCTTGGGCGTCACATCACGGATCCCTGGCATCGAGGCCTCGGGATCGGAGGGGATGGAATCTGATAGATTCTTTTGGAGCTGTGCTGCCGCTTCGGTATTTTCTGAATCAGGGGTAGATGAGTTTGTGGGAGTCGACGGGCCATTCGTCAGATTTCGAGAAGCTGAAGACTGCCTGATCTTCGTGAGCTCAAACCCCGCTGCTGCTGCTGCTGCTGCTGCTTCTTCTTCTCTCGATGAACGGACCAAAGGCGAGCCCTTCTCGCTCATCCGCTCAATGAAACTAGGGACTACACCCCCCGCCATCCTAGCCCAGAAGAGTCTCTCCCGTAACCTGATAAGCTCTTCCCAAGCTTCCTGCTCCTCTTCTTTGTCTGTGCATCGCACGACGCCGTCACGCACCATGCGCACATAGCCGACCAAATCGCATGTTGCGCGGACCTTTTCGAGACAGAGACTGCATAGAGCCCACTTGGTGGCGCTTTCACCTTCGCTGACTCTCATGCGGTGGGTACGCGGGTTGGAGTCGTCTTTTCGTGATTCGCCGCACAACGCGCATGGGGTGATGCGGCCATAGAGGCGAATACCTGATTCCGGGATTGGTTCTACGATAAGACCGCTCTCGGTGAGGGCTGAGAGTATGCTGCGCCGAGAGAGCCATGATATGGATGATGACAGGTCAAGTCTTAGGGTTGGCTCGATGTCCTCGACTAGGAGGCGTTTGTAGAATTTGATTTCTTTCAGCGGAGTAGGACCTCTCTCGGTATTGGAGTTGGGTGAGAAAGAGCCAGGAAGTTGTGGCGAAGTTGTGGCAGATTGGCTGGAGGTCGCGTTCAGCGAGGTAGAGGAGCTATTTGAAAGTGGTTGCAAGGGTGAAGAAGATGAAGACGATGTGAGGCCTCCCAGACCCATCACACTGAGCCCTGCATATGAGCCACTGGTCACACGAGAAGCGGGCTGAGACTTCTGGGCGAGGAGCAGAAGATGGCGGAAGTCTTCGTATGCTGGGAGATCTGTGCGGCAAACAGGTTTAAGAAGATGTGTCAACGTCGTTGATGGCGCTGGCGAAATCTCTCCTCCAATTTCTGTTGTCCTAGGGGAGAGATTCATGGCCTCCAGCAGACGAAGGAATTGAGCATCCTTCTCGCGGTAGGAGCTCGGTGATGAAGGCTCCGTCGATGTTCTTGCAGAATCTGGTCCCTCATCCTTACTGCCTTGGGGGCCCATCTGCTGCATGACAAGTTTCAACTGTGCCAGCTGTTCCTGCTGGTTCGCTAAGAGAGATTCTGTGTCTTTGACTTGATCTCGTAACTGCTGATTCCTTCTTTCAACCGCATCCCGCTCCTTGTTAGCTGCTGCAACCATTTTGTTGGCTTCTTCGAAAAGAGATGCTGTAAGGTTTTCGAGTTCGCTTTCGATGCCTCTCTTCTCCTGTAAAATAACGACCTTCTGCCTCCTCTCATTCGCGAGTTCCGCCACCAGCTGCGCCTTGTCGTTATCCGCATCTGCTTTTGGTATCAGCAGTCCCTCAGTCACTTTCTGCTCCTGCGCTCTGACTTCTGCTTCAAGCTGTTGAACTTTAGCCCTCGAAGTCTCCAACTCGTGACGAGTCTGCGCAATAGTATCTTCCAGCACTGTTTGGTGGTTGATGGCATTTATGAGTTTGTCGCTGAGTTTCGCAGCCTCATCGCTTAAGTCTGGATGTCTGGGTGAAGGAGAGCGAGTTCGAGATAAATCTGACGAGCTCGTGTTTCCATGATCTGGTGCAGTACTGAGGGACTCTTGTGAGCCAACTCGAGGGCTTACGCCATGCAGAGCCAAGTCAGACTCAGAAGCTGCCATTTCCGCAATGACGTTTGTAGATAGGGTCTTTGGGCTAAGCTGAGAAGCAGGATTTGGCCGGCTGGGCTAACGAAGAAGAGCGACTGCAGGGGGAGTCAAGACAGTGAGAATAGGAAGTGCGGCCATGTTAGGGGCCTATTGTTTGCATTTATATAAAAGTGTTCAAGTGCCGCTGGTCAGGTGGTGTCGAGTACCTTTCCACGATAAAACCGGAAAGCGCGGGAATGGATGCGCGTGCTGTTCAGATCCCGGGACCAGAGCAGGACATCAAGCACACTCTGATGGATCAAGAAGACTTGAGCTTCAGCATCTGGAATGGGCTTGGTAGTAAGGCAGTGTAGTTTGCCTTTTGTACTCCTGTAACGTGTAGGAAGAACGGCAATTACCGAGTTGGCTGTGTGATGATGTAGCCGCTGTGCAGCTTGCGCCTCGAGACTTGACAAGATTGCACCCGACGCTTTACCTCATATTCAACTCCAGAGAAATGAAGTATGTTAGACGGAAGAAGAAACGAGAAGCTTAGATCAGACACGCCTTCGTAAAATGTAAATGCTGTTGAGGAGAGGGCCAAAGGCGGATCCTTCATAAGCTTGACCCGGCCATGGGAGCCCGGATGTCGGGTTCTCGCAACCCTCGAGGCGTGAGTCTAGCGCCTTAGAAAGTGGAAATCTTTCGCGTTGTGGCTTTTGCTGCCGCTAAACCTTCAAGGGTCGGTCGACCGCCTTAGCCGCTATCTGCGCATTGACGACGAGACGGCAAACCTGCATAGACCGGAGGAAACACGGCAATGGCAGACGCCGAGCTGGAACAAGTACGCTCTCCTTTGAATACCTCGCCGGGATAGCTGTTGATTCGTACGCTAGATACGAGCTGCACGACTTGCACAGCTAAAACAACAAGGCGGCGGAGGGAGTCAAGGCGGGGAGGGCAACGAGGAGGAACAGAGGAGGTCTCTTATACTCCCCAGTACATGTAAGTTGCTACAAGACATACTGACGCACGCTCAAACACAGGAAACAAGAATCTGAAGCCCGCGCGTCCATCCTCTCGCAAATACTCGAACCCCAGGCTGCGGATCGGTTAGGACGGATACGAATGGTAAAAGAGAGCCGAGCCACCGATGTTGAGAACAGGCTGATCATGATGGCGCGGACGGGTCAGTTGAGGGCAAAGGTTACGGAGGAGCAGCTGAAAGAGCTGCTTGGGTCATTGGCTGAGCATCAAAGAGAAACGGGAGGGGGGGTAGAGAAAATGAAGGTTGTTAGGAGGGGTGGGTGGGATGATGATGATGATTTGGATGATCTGTTGGAAGGCAGTTGATACACACTCGCACGAGGATAGAGTGGCGAGAGAGGTTTAGCATTTTTGCTTCTCTGTGATACCCGGCTTTCGCTATGCCACCAAAGTCCTTCAGACGCCTCCGCTGAATTGTATGCGAATATCTCTAGTGCCTGCTGCAGCTTAGGTCTTTTTGTCCTTCGAAGCTCGCTTTTGAGCCTCTCGGAGCTTTTTTCTAGTCTCTCGTAAGTCTGGGGGAGGCTCAATACCCAACCTAGCTCTCAGATCATCGACATCTGTCTCCAATTCTTCTTCCCAGTAGATATTGATAAGATCTACGCTCCCTAATCCATTAGAGAAAGCCCATGGCAGGTAGGTATTGAACATCCTCTGCCTTTCCTGAGGTTTGAGTTTCACAATCGCCACCAACGAAAGCGCAGTCATAGGGAGCCCTGTGTTTGCAAACTCAAAAGCCTTCAGTCCAATTTCCCCCTCGACAAAGATAGGGAGACCAGTGAGAGCATGATAGAAGTCGTGGCATTCTCGATAACGCTGCATGACATAGGCCTCCTCTTCATCGTCTATATATCGTACCCAGTCTCGAGTATCAGGGGAGACACCCTCTCGATCGAGCCATGCTGCATATGTCCTTCCCACCGAGTTCTCTGGCAGCTTCCGAAGATGTTCAAGCGACATCGTTTTGGATGTGATTCGTGGACGATCTCGAAGTATCCTTCGGCCCGTCGGACTTGCTAGCATTCGATTTCGAAGCTTTGTGATGAAGAAGGGTTGAGCAGTTGCCTCGCCGAGCGCAGCAATCATATCTGCTCGTCGCGGATTCAGAAGACTGGCGACTGCAGAGCCAACGGCTAAAGCTGAGCGCTCGATGAAAGTGAGAGGGACATGGCCAGGATAATTCGGAGGTGGACGGTTTAGAACGGAGAAGTCTCGGATGGAGCTCTGACGTGAACACGATGAGCTCGTAGGACGAAGGATGGATTGGAGCAGGGCAAGATCTTTTTGTCGTCGAGGCATGATCTAGTTGTATACATCTCACCAGCAGATGTTCTTGCCAACTTCAAATTTCGAATGGATTTCTTTGCTGGTATCTGCTGCAGCAGCATATACTATAACTATAGTATGTAACGCCCAACACCACAAAGCGGGCCACCCCACAAAGCGGGCCAATTTCGGGTCACCCACAAAAAACCACCCTCAAATTTCTAACGCTTATTACTCCACCAATTTACGTCCAAATGGCCTCAAACCAAGAGCAATTGATTCAGCAGGCGTTAAATGACCTAGATATAGGTGCTGAGAAGTCAATTCGCAAGGTAGTCTAAGCTTAATATTAAGTTATTACCGACGCAGAGGTCGTAACCCACGTACGCAAGCTAATCGCAGGACTCAACGCCTATCCCTAGAAGAAGAAAAAACTCTAATTCAGTGGATTCGAGATCTACAGCGGCAGAATCTATGCCCAAATTACCCTAGAATTCGCTCTTTTGTGTACGAAATCCTGCGAAATCAAGGCGATTCGCGGCCCCTGGGCAAGAACTATGTATCTCGCTTCATTTCTCGCTATTTAGAGCTTTGAACAAGCAGATCTCGAGCTATGGATATTAAGCGCCTCTCTGCGCTTAATCCTACGGTTATAGAGAGCTTCTTCTCTGAATTTGAACAGCTCTGAAGTCAGTATGACGTCAAAATAGAGAATATCTAGAATATAGATAAAACAGGCTTTCAAATGGGTCAAACAACAAGCAATTTTGTGGCCTATGACGCCTCTATAGGGCGCCCTGTTGCTCCGCAGCCAGATAATACGCAATGGGTCACAATTATTGAGTGTATCTCATATCACCGCGCCCTAAAGCCCTATCTCATCTTTTGTGGCAAGGCACCAGAGCTACATATGTTCCCTGCTATTGATGAGCTACCTGACATTATTTGGGCCTTCTCTCTAAAGAGATGGACTGATAATAAGCTTAGTATTGATTAGCTAAGGCGGATATTTATTCTACAGAGGCCTATAAGCAAGCATTCTATTCTGATTCTTGATAGCTATAACAGTTATTCTATCCCCTCCGTGCCTGAACAGGGGTGTAGAATGCCTCAATTAGCGTCGTCGATCTCCTTATTTCGATGTTGCTACAACTTTTGCTTGCTCGAACGCCTTTGATAGATATTCGGGAATAAGTGTCTTCAAGAGCAAAGCTTTAACTCACTTGTCAAATGATTTGTCTGATAATATATTCATTGAATGCTGGTTAGACGATGTCCTGTGAGCGACCTTATTTGAGCTTAAATTTCACCAAACGCGCTAATTGAGGCATCGGGCACGGAGGGGATAGGCCTATTTCAGTATCTCTGCCTTTAAAATAACATCCATCCACTCTATCTACTAGCTCATGCCTCTTATAAGCTTTAACCACTTGATTTAGGACCCTTTTCGCCTCTTAAAGCAGTATATAGCTAATTAGTACAAAGATTTGTACTAACAGGCCTTGTAACACTTAACTACAGAGTATTTACTAAGCTCTATATTAAAGCATGTCAAACTACATTTACTGAGCGAAATATTCGTGCTGGATGGCATCGTACAGGAATTTGGCCTCTAAATAAGCAAAAACTACTCAATGACCCTGAAATTCGAAATTTTGGACGTACTACGCCTGAGTATCAACCCCCAGCTACGTCAGATGGTCTCTATAGCACTCCAAAGCAGAGTGACAATTTACGCGTACTAATTCGTCAAATTAAGGCCAAAACAACGCCTCAAATAAGACGCGCTGTACGAAAGCTTGGCCACAGCGCTATTCAAGAGCATACTGGCGCTCAATTGCTTCGAACGCAGCTCCGAGAGCTACGTCAATTGGCTTTGAAGCAAGAGCTTACCAAACGCTCAAAAAGGATACAAAAAGAGACAAAGCAGCGGTCGTGGAATCTCGAACAGGTCAGGGCTGCTCTAGCGCCTAAAAAGGTCCATTTCGTACGCAAGGAGGGCGGCGAAAAGCGAATTCTGCGTACTGTTACATTAGAATAGGCCTATAGAAGCTATTTCTATCGAAATTAGCCAATTTGAATGAGTATAGCAGCTCTAATGCAGTAGAATTTGGTGTTGTTGCTAACCCGAAATTGGCCCGCTTTGTGGGGTGGCCCGCTTTGTGGTGTTGGGCGTTAGGGCAATCACAAACCCAGCGAACCAACCTCGAAATATTGTAGACCTCCCAAATTGACTTCTTGGCATTGAAGCTTGGCGAAAAGGGGACAGAGTACTTGCATAGGAAGGAACTCTACTAAACGATAAAAAAATGATAGAAAGCCGCATCATCAAATTCAAATAGAAATACCTCATTCTAAGTTGATATATCAAAAAAGGAAAAAGTTCGCTTCATATACATCCCCACTCTCGAACAGTGAAAGTTCGATACTGGAAGGAGAGATGCATCCACTATGAAAACTTAGCTAGTGCCAGTTATTCAGGACTCCAACCGCTGAGCCACCAAAGAGTTTGCGGTGGGACGGCATGGAATTTTGGCCCCCAAAATTAATATATATAGTAAATAATTGATCAAAGATTTTAGTTTTTACAATCGGAGTCTACGGACTACACAACTTGATGATCCATCTCCACAAGTTCTTTACAGAGTATTGCTATTGGAAACCTGGATCAATGCTGTACGAGCGATATGTGTCATTCAAGGCGCATTAGAAAATTCTTTGCTCCGCTCTAGCAACAGTACCATCTGAGTAATCGATTCCATACAAGACGCTCATTCACTGCCAAACTTTGTTCAGCGCATCAGGAGATATGGCTCTCATCACCAAACCGACTGCATCCTCCGTAAGAACAAACTCCTCTCAAATTTCCTCGTCCGAATCATCTGATTCCTTGCTGTCATCTTCATTCTTCTTTGAACCAACGCTTTCCTCGTCTGAATCATCAACCGCTTCATTCTTCCGTACCTCCCAAAGCCCAGGTACCAAGGCCTTTTCTTTGGAAACTCCCAGATTTTGCAGATTGTCAGCAAAAGGTTCAGATGGTCGATCCGATCCCAGACTCCCATTCCCATTTTGGTCCTTGGACTCGTTGCCCTTTGTAACCGGTACAGGGTGAATGTTGTGCTCAGCCTGTGCGAGTTCATTCGTCGGTAGCGTAGCAGGCACGGCGTCCTTGCCTCCTGTTTCCGAGACCTGACACCTACCAGATGTAGATGTCATATCGTCAGAGCGAGTCTCATCATGTGGAATGGTCGTGGATGAAGACTTTGGCGAATCCTCAGCCAGCTCTGCGGTCCGGGATGAACGGCTGCGAGACATATTGTCATCGTGTTTCTGCAGCATCGGCGGCGAACTCTTCTCTGCGTCGCTCCGTCCGCTGTCTGCGTGCAACCCTCTGTCAAAACCAATTTCTCCAGTCTTTCCATGCGATTGCGGATTGCCAGCTCCTACTGTTAGCTTGCATACAGTATGGCTGGTAGAGATTCCACTGGAAAGACGACACTTCTCGTCGAAATGGTGTTTAAAATCAGCCAATTGTGCCCTGCACTGCCTGTCACGCTCCCCGAGTTCAATAATTCGCCGCAATGACTCTGCGTGCCACTCTCGGAATTGGGTTGCAGTCCAGTTCCTATCGCCCGGCCGTCTGTGGTAGAGGCGAATAACTTCTGAAGGGCATCGGTATCCTTTCGGCCAGTACTCCATTCTCTTGAGGAATAAGTGTCTGGTCAATTTATACTCTTCAAAAGGGGGTAGAAGGATCCCTTTCTTGATTTGGCGTGCAGTGTGACAAGTACTAAGATGCTTGGGAAAGGCTTCTCGTACATAGACTGCGAGACCACCATAATTCGGTGTGCGTATAGGATTGAAAGCACACTTGAGTACAAGATCTCGTTGGCAACCAACACACCAGAATCCTGACTCTACCTTGAGGGGTGTCCTTCTTGGATGCAAATAAGGCAACGTGGTGAAAAGTAAATCGCTTTGAATATTTGGGTCCACCCCTAAGAGCGACCAATATGTTCGTATGGCTTCTAGGAGACCCGGAAAACTTTTATCCCACAACATAATATCCCTCAAGGCGTTGCGGTGGGAATCAATGTTGTGTTCCATAAGATAATTGCTGACGAGGTCATGAAGATAGTCAAGACCCCCAACAATATTGTATTTTGATCTGGCAATATCTGCGGCCGCAGCGATAGATACGACTTCAACTCTGGGGTACCAACCAGGGCGTCTTAGCTGACCACAGCAAGATTGACGCTGAGCAGAAGGTGGTATCGGCATGAGCGCAGAGCCCATCTTGCAGGTTATCTCCTCGTGGTCCAGCTGAAAACATTCCATTGCCATGGTGACCGGCAGTGGTGGACAAAAGTTCCAGAGGCCATAACAGGTACGACAAAGCCGTCGGCATAACAGTAAGCAAAATACGACTGCAAACTCGCGACGCTGGCATAGAGTACATATCCAAGACGTAAATTTCGCCATGAAATATGTCAAGCTGAAGAATTTCGCCGTGCCGCTGGTATACATCCGATTGACAGCCCTTGCGGCATAGACGTTCTGCTGAATTTTCTTGACAGCTGGCAGTTCCTGCACAAGCTTTCGCATACGAAGGTTGACTGAAGCCATAGCAACCAAGCTTGAAATATCGAGATACTCCATGATTAAAGTAGTAAGCTCAAGTGGTAGCCGTTCGAAGTTGTTCAGGGGCATCAGGGTTCTTGTAAGCAGATTAGGCCATAGAGGCGATTGGGAGTATTTCGAGACATCGACAGCCGTCAGAAACGTGTTCTCGTTTTCTAGAAAGAATTGTCCATCTGGAAAATTTCCGTGATTGAAGGACGCGGTAACTTGAAAGGTGCCATCGTTCGCATGGCGAGTTGGGTTGGGTGCTGGACTAGCACTACCTTGAAGGCTGTTCGGGGACATAAGGATGACCTCGTTTCTTTCGCTTGTGCAAGCTATGGTCAGAAGTGATGGTTATCGGCCTTGGTTGAGGAAGGGGTTGCTTTTTCTTCTTATGAAAAAGGAAAATAGGTGATATCGTTGGATGTTAGTGGTATGTAGTGAAAGGGAATGGCGAGTGAGAGAGAAGACATTTTTATAGTTCCAGATGGGCAGCCCAGACGGAGGCAAGAAATCAACCGTTGTGTGAAACACAAGAACTATCAGTCTTTGTCTGAAGTGTTCGAAGCGGATGAATAACTCGTGCAGATACATGTTACTGGCAACTTGAGCATAACAGATTATCACAGATCAGAGAACCTTGTGCAGCTGAGCTACAATAAAATAGACCATGACTTTTGAACGTGGATCAGAAGGAAAGCGACCGAACAAAGGACGGTATATTATCTGACTTGATGGAATGACTGGAATAGGTAGAAACATTCCCAGAGGACTTGTTACAGAAGAAATGCTTGCTCCAAGTCCTTGCGGCTTTCGTTACCAAAAATTAGCACTTGGTGTCTGCCAGGTCAGATGCTGCAGAATGAGATAAGGCTGCTACTCAACCTTGCCGGGTATCAACCATACATAGTAAAGTCCCCCAGCGATCATAGGGATTTCAAGCTGTTTTCAGCCTATCTTCACTACCGCCCTTATCCAGTATAGTCTTCGAAGCGTCTCGTAGTGGAGCTCACCACCTGCCGGGACGATGTTTGTTGTTGCAGACATCTTTTTCCAACTAGATCGATTCGCAATAGCAACGGATGAACTGCTGCATACACCTCGCGAGGGGTTCTGTCGAAATCTATTCGGCGGATTTGGCTCAAAAAATGATCTCGCACACTAAGCTCCAGTGTGTCGAAGCGGGAGAGTGTCGTTGACAATGTTTCTCTTACGTCTTTTTCATCCGACATTCTGAGACGTTCACCTTGGAAGATCGACTGAGCTGCGTCGCAGTGCTGAAAGTGGACTTCGTACTGTGCCGAAAGATAAGACTTCTCGGCTAGAGCAGCAGCAGCAGCAGCAGCAGCAGTAGCAGGGCTTCGTCTTGTGTGAAATGCAATCCGTTCACAGCCTTCGCACAGCAACCCAGGCTCGAGTTGCAACGGCAGAACTGCAGAGTGAAGAAATGGCATGTACCCTGTTAGTATCCAATTCGGGATCGAATCTTCGTATCTCTTTTCATGTTGCTTCCAGTCCTCCAAGTTGACAATAAGATCTGACAAACCCCTGACGTCGCATTCATCTGTTATGGCGTTGAGTTGACCCCGCGAAAGAAGATTCGGATCGTTTTGGCTGATATAAGCTTGAATGAGATTCTTGACATGACTAGCGCCGCCTATCTGCGCATGCTTCTCCAAAGATAACTTGACTGCCAGCCTGAGGGGGATGATGTCTAGTCTGTTATCACCGCGCATAGTCCACCATGCTCTGCACCCAACCCTGGAGAAACGTTCAGAGAGCAGAGGTTTTGGTTTGCGAAATACCGAAGCAGTGCCCGGTTCTCCAACCTTGTCGCTAAGATTCAAGCCCAGGCATTCAGATGCTACGTTCTGTGGTAGACGAATGTTCTTTCGCTCGATCTTGATGCACTTCCCACAAACCCTCTCGCAGAGCATGAGGCAAACCCAGGGTGCAAATGCATCAGAGTCCTTGCATATCATGCACTTTGATGTAGTAAGCATACTAACAAAGTCGTCCAGGGTGAAAAATCTGGCGGTTCCTGCATGGAGCATCTCTAACAATGCGGACCTGATATAAGTATGAGACTTGGCAATCCGAACATGTCGCAGCCCAACTATTAGACTTCGTAGATCCGGATTGCACTCGGCAAATCGAACAAGGCTTGCTATGTCCAGATAGCTGATGATTTCGAGGAGGATCTCATCTGGCATTCTTTCAAGAAAGCTAGTGGCAGTTGTGCATGCCACTCTAGGCAACGGTGATAAAAAGCTGCTGCTCGTAAATGGCTCCATAGGAGCTTGGTGAAGCTCGTGGTCAAGATCATAACGAGGAATTCGCGAAGTATAAGGTGTTGTTGGGCAACACCTCTTCTTAGCGTACTCGCGGTGACTTATGATATACGAATTTCCTGCATAGAGGCGTCCTATGCGAGCTGAGAGATCATCCACGGTAACGTCAGGGCGCCACATGATAACGAACTGCCACTGACTCTTGTGTAGAGTTGACAAGGAACTTCCACGTACGAAGATATGCAGTGCTAGTGAGGTATGTTGTTGAAAGGAAGAAGGTGAACTCTATCAATGCCGTAATATTGAGTGTTGTCGAAGCATACTGATTTATTTCCATTGCGCCCAGGCTCGATCTCAAGCCTCGTTTGTAGACAAGCAATTCTGTTACTTGTGACGATCGCGAGCGTTGGAACACTTCGCCAACTTAATTGGATCACAAAGGTCGCATATAGAAATGCTTCCGGGCAATGACGCGTACTGGGGGGTCCTAGTGATCTAGGCGGTGAGAGTAGAAAATACCGCAATGTCCTTGTTTGAGGAGGTCATGTCTTGTCCACCTATATTGCAATATACAGCTGATATTGAAGACAGCCCCAGGCATTTAGATCGAGCTGGACCTCTTCCTCGCTATAACGTACCTTCCAGCTCGATCAGCTCGAAGACATGGATGATGACAAAAGCATTGCGTGTGTCGTACATCTGTTTTTCCTATATTCGAGGCATCCCTCAATACAATCAAACATCGGCTGGAGTGTACAACATCTCATTACTCGGCGTTCTTAGAAATGTCATGATAGCGACTGTCAAAGCCTCGACCCCAGTCTTGAGCGTTGGTTGTAATACTGGCGCGAAGTAGGGGCTGTGATTCACCGCTATCTCATCGAGGGTGCCATTGTTTTCTCTCTCATCCCATTCCTTCGCCTCGATACCTCCAAAGAACCAAAAGCAGCATGGTCTGTTGACGCTCGAGGCCAATATGGATACGTCTTCACTGGCAAGATGTGGTTTTGGCTTTGACTTGTGGTGTTTACCGAACCAAGAGGAGAAAGACTTTTCTATGGCGTTGTTAACTTCTTTGTCGTTGTGTGTCAAAGGATACGTCCTTGTTCGCTCGAAGACTGGTCCCTTGGGACATCTCCCAGCTTCGCACTCTGCTCTGACGATCCTTTTGACGGATTCAAGTATACGTTGGCGCCATTCCTGCGTGACGGACCGGATATCTATCTTGAGTACTGCTTCAGCTGATATGATGTTCTCTGTGTCACCGGATTGGATTGATCCCACTGTTACAACAGCGGTCTCATCGGGCGGTACCTCTCTGCTACAGATGGTCTGCAATCTGACAACAATATAGCTCGCAATGACCACTGGATCAATGGCATGATGAGGCTGCGAGCCATGTGCGCCACGGCCGTAAATGGTAACCTTGAAGCTGTCAGCAGCCGACATCATGGTGCCTGCTTTCGTTTCCACAGATCCAGCACGATACGGCATAACATGTTGTCCAAGAACCATGTCAGGAACCGGACACGCATGCTTTTTTGGGTCATAAAGCCCATCATCAACCATCGCAGCAGCCCCCGTACCGCGCTCCTCTGCAGGCTGGAACAGAAAGACAATGGTGCCAGACCATGCATCCCGTGCTTTTAGTGCTGTCTCTGCAGCAGCAAGCAGCGAAGTAACGTGGAAGTCATGGCCACAAGCTGGCGCAAGGCAGAGCAGATTGTGGTTAGCACAGAGGATTGCGCAACATCCAAATATGGATCTTACCGTGCATGACAGGCTTGAGGTCGCCATTGACATCCTTCATTTTCTTTGTGCTAGCATATTCCAGTCCGGTTTTCTCTTCAACAGGCAATGCATCGAAGTCTGCACGCAGCAATATTGTCCTACCATTCCCATTCCTACATATGGCAATAACTCCATGACCACCTATTTTGGTCTTGATCTCCAAGTTGGATGATAGCTTTCTCAGGTGGCCCTCAATCAAATTGGCAGTCTCTTCTTCCAAGTCTGGTAGCTCCGGGTTAGCATGAAGCTTTTTGTAGATGTCCTCATATTGTGAGAGGCCGGGTAAGTAGCGATCAATCAAGGTCTGAAACATGTTGAACTCCGTATAAAATAAAAGACCTGCCACGGGCTTGGAGAGAGTGCAAGATGGATAGACTATCACCCGGATCACCTCTAACTCGTATAACTATCAAAGGAGGTTGGGATCGAATCTGCAACCCCAGGGAATGCCTCATGCAGTCAAAATGTGGGGTAAAAATAGAGGTGTACGTCAAAACATGCAACCCTTGAATAGCATCGATACTCTTTCAGGTGATACACGGAGCAAAAGATTATATGGTGAAGAATCGCGATGATTTAGCCAGAGACCATGAGGGAAATCAGAAATTCAACCGTTCGCCTCCATACACAAGGACAGGTCAGACAGCGCTCTAAGTCCCACCTCCAGCACCCCTTACGATACTAACCGCATTCTTGCGAATGCTTGCTGCTTTCGCCTTCACACTCTCTGCGCGAGTTAATGGTTTCTCAATCTGACCTTCAAGAAGTGCTTCGGACGAGGAAGAATGCGAAGCGGTACGTCTTGTGGTAGGCTTCTGTGTGGCCCCGTCCACGATTCGCTTTAGTATTGACGGTCTTCTCGTAGTCACTCCTCGGTTTGATAGATTAGCCGCCCGTAGAGCTGGTTTCTTTACCAGCGCTGCTCTGCTTACTGGTTTGGATGGGCTGGGTTGAGTGGAGCTGTAGACTGGAGTCCGTGCAGGCGACCTAGATTTTGATTTCGTGGTAGTAATTCTCTTCAGTGCAGCGGCTGCCGAAGCTGGTACCCCAATCTTGGGTCTCTTGTTCCAGCAGTCCGTTCGCTCGTCAAGAATGTCTGCAATCTTCCTCTTTGCTCCAGCCAACCGGCTGGCAGCAGATGTTCCCAGTTCCTTTTCTGGCTTTGGCTTCCTTTCCTCTTTGGCCTTTGGGCCTAGCACGCCACGGCATTTGCTTGAGCCGCAACGACATTCTTGTACGTTCTTTTGGGAGAAGGGGTCGAAGTTGTAGTCGTAGGTAAGCTCATCTCCGGTCATGATGCCCTTATCACCAGCGAAAAGAGCCATGCGAGGCTTGTCACCCACCGTCCACTTCTCCATACGGCAATTTGGTTCACAAGAATGATTCACGAACCGCGCGATAGACCCCCTTGTAGCATCTATTATCATATTCTGATCAAATAACATTAGGTAGTAGCACTGTACATGTTATTAGGGTATGACGAAAAGAAGATGAAAAGAAGTGGACGCAGTCATACCTCGTTGTTCTTATACAAAGTTCTCATCCGCTTGTCACACTCGTCCTGGGTGATGATCTCCCCTGTATACTCGACAATTATTTGGTTTGGCTCAAAGGTTCTATTGCTGCGTACGCCGAACCCACGATCTCGTGTTTGTATGACCTCAACTCCGACATTGTATTTTCCTCCCTTCTTACTTCTTTGCGCAAGGGATTGGAAGCTACGGTTAGAGCATTCTGCAAGATTGCAATTCCGATCATCGCACTCATAGAACATGAATCGGTTCATGCAGTTCTCATCACATCCTGTTTCTTGAGTGCACATACATGTGGAGTGCTCTCGTGGCTTGGAATGACGCCAGACCTGGGCAGCATCTCCCACAAAGACATTCTTGTTGGTCTTGCGCCACTCATCTGGTCTAGGCTGACCAGGAGGGAGAGGCGAAAAGACATCATAGGGAAGCTTGAAGTCACGTCCCTGTTTCATGAGGCGCTCGCCAGCAAAAATGGGCAATGGTAAGGTTCGGTTCTCCCTGATAGGAGCCACATCATCATGTTTGCGCTTGTTTTTCGACTCGGAATGCGTGTCATCGAAGTCCCTCGTCTGGCCCGTATACAGGCCGGAAGCTAACCACCTTTTCTCCCTGCGGACGGGCGGTGGCTTGTTTGGTTTAATAAGAGCTTCCGCTGTTCGGGAGTCTTTGTCAAGGTCTCCATCGCTTAGCCGCCTAATCTTGGCCTGAGGTCCTTCTAACGCTGGCGTTGTCGAGATTAATGGTTCAACCATGCTCCTCGGCCTCAGACTGGCTCGTCTTTTGATGTCTTCCAGTCTGTCCCTGGCAATTCCCACTGCTTTCTTGGGTGGCTTGCCGAGTACGCTGGCGGTCAAGCCAGAGACTGCCTCTCCAGCCCTCTCAAGCATAGACCCTCTGGAGGATCGTCGAGTAGCCTTCTCCTCTGCAGCCTTCTTTCTAGCGTTCCAATGTTTTGCATTTTCTTCCATCTTAGCTCTCTTAGCAGCAGCCTTCTCAACTCTCAAATGATCTTCTTCGACATTCGATGCGGACGATCCACCATTTTGGCTCCACGATTCTGCATCGATCGTATCTTGGTGCTTGACCAGGGACGTGACGCTCCAAGGAAGGTCAAGGACAGCTATACCACTCCGAAGAAGACTTGATTGGCTAGCATTCGTAACCAGCGTTTCACCGCTAACACTTCGTCCCTTCTCACTCAGCGTAGTCTCGACAATGTAGTCACGACTCTGCTGTCTCGCACCTGTTTTAGGGTCGACGCGTCGAGGTTTACTTTGCGATATCTGCTGTATGTAAATGTCATGACTAGAGGCGGAGGAGGCATCCGTGGTACTCTCGGCAGGTGTAGGTAGCTGAGGCTGATGACCAGTACAGTCAACAATGATTGTGTCTGGATCGTCGTCTGCTGGAAGTGTCTCTGACGGCGCAGTCGAAGGGCGAGATGGTTCTGGCCATGGCGAATGCATCGCAGGCGTTCCGTTTGCTTGCTTTGGATCAGATTTCGTTCCAAAGCAGAGCTCGGTTTGCCGAAGTGGCATGGTGATACAGTATGCAGATGTTGGTGGTTGGACGCGTGTGGAGAAATCGCGTGGGGCTCGCGTTGTAGCAATTCCCTGGCCCTTAGGTCACTTTACATAACCCATCCCAGCCTTTTCCAGGAAATAACATGAGTGCTTGAAGTCGCGGACAAATGTCAGTTAGAAGAGGAAATGGGGCTTGCTCAGAACAAGATAAAATGCGCAACAAACATTGATGGAGAGCCAATGGATGTGGGTGCATTAGCCATTCCGGCGACACCACGACAACAACATTCTGCATTTCGATTGCTAGTGTCCAGTACTTTACTTTATCCCCTCCGTCCCTGGGTGTGCCTATTAGCGTACTTGGCGTAAAATAAGGTTTTTGAGCCGCATTTGATCGCCATAGCTTTCCGCAGCTGGTTTTAAAATGAATTTTCAACCACCTCCAATGCTACGACCACGTCGAGATACACAAATTCCACTGAGATACAGAGATAACTCACCTCCGCAATTACTACAAAACAACAACCAGCGAAAAAGATGCAGAATTGACCCAAAAAAAGTTGATCGAAATAATGTCGATCAAGCCTTGGCAGTGATAGCACCTGCGCCAGAATGCGCAAATGAACCACCAACACTCATTTCAACAGAACTCCCTCATTTTGAGGCCAATTACGTTCAAAATCGAACTGGAGCTTCACGATACACAGGTTTATCAGAATTGGGCTTTTTTAAGCTCTTTTTTAGCGATTTCGTGGTAGAAATCCTCTCTAAAGAGACCAATTCATACGCCGAATCTCAACTTCAGGATCCTTTATATCCTCCTCTTTCTCTCCCGTCTAAATGTCACTGGGTACCTACTACACCGGCAGAAATACATGTATTTCTGGGCATAAATCTCCATTTTGGCTTGTACCCATTGATAGTACGAACGGACTACTGGAAAATTCACAATCTTGGTCAATTTATGAGTCGAGATCGATTCGAACTCATTCATCGTTATTTTAGTACAAATAGTGCTCCTCCTGCTCCAAACGCACCCTGGTTCTATCGAATTCAACACATAGCTGACCTCATTCGAAATGCCTGTCGAGATGCCTATTATCCCTCCTCTCATATCGCTATTGATGAAGCTATGGTCGCCTTTGCAGGCCGTTCAAGAGATATAATCAAGCTAAAGAACAAGCCTATTGATACCGGCTACAAACTGTGGTGTATTGGCGATCATGGCTATATTTGGAGCTGGCTATTTCATTCTCGAATAGAGGGCGTTGAAACGCTTGAAAAGGGTAGAAAAACAAGCTGGCCGCGCCTGCGCTCCGCAGGCGAAACGCATATGGAGGATTTAGCACCTATATTTGCGCTTGTTTTACGTCTTGCAGAACAGCTTCCAAAACAGCTCAAATTCTGTATCTATTTAGATAATCTGTTTCTAAATCTGCCCGTTGCACAGTGTCTTTTAGCTCTAGGGGTCTATTGCATGAGTACAACGCGCAAAAAGGCTGATGGATTTCCTTTACATCTTCAGAGCTATTTTGAGAAAAATGAGCTACTATGGGACTCTACTGTAGCAGAGGTCATTGACAACAACACTCTCTGCTTCGTCTGGCAGGATAATAAGGCCGTCAGCGCTATTTCGACTGCTCATAGCCTCCACAGGGCTGAGGATAAGGTTCAACGTACGCGAAGATGCCCAAAAATAACGTCCGAAAATCAACGAATTCTACTACCTGTTTTTGACGGTCAACCGTTTAAAAAGCTCTTCATTCCAATGGCTATTAATGACTATAACCATCATATAAAGGGCGTGGATCAAGCCAATCAACTACGCGCGGGCTTTACATGCCACAGAAAGCAGAACTATCGAATGTGGTAGCCCTTGTTTTTCTTCTTTATTGACGTTGCTTATACCAACGCTTATTTACTATGGAAATAGAGTAATAACGTGCAGAATCACGATAGCCATAGGATCTTTATAAGCGCCCTGTGCGATCAATTACTACATTCGAATGATTCAAAGAAGGAGGAGCAAAAAGAGAAGAAGAAAGAACAATCCCATTCTCAACCCACAACAGTATTTCGGCGCTACTATAAACCCATACAACTCAAACAGCGTGGCTGGTGCGAATGGGGAAAGCGTCATTCATCAGGCTGTTCGCGTAAACGGTCAAATAAACGCAAATTTGGAACCGACATTACAGAATTAACTACCAACGGCGCCAACGAGGGTATTTTAGGAGGCTCCTTCACTCATCAAAGATGCAGTAAATGCCAGATTTGGCTCTGTATCAAAGGAGACTGCTGGCAACAGTATCACAGCTCAATTGAGGCCAATAGCTAGATAGAACAGTCTCAATTCGCCGAAAATAGACGTTTGTTGACGTTTTTGGACCCCTCATAATGATCGACAGCGCTAATAGGCACAAACTACACCCCTGTTCAGGGACGGAGGGGATACTCTTTTCGACTCAGGCACAACGCTGCGAATATATGAGCATAGGGTGGTCTCAGTCTCCGCTTTGTATATTTATATAAGCTTATACAATGTGGCTAGCAAATTCATCGCCGGCTTGCTCAAATGCACAGGAGTCTCTGTAGAGGCCATAGTCCAAGCTAATCCAGACATATGGCATAGATATGCCGGGCCAGAACAATTGAAAAAAAGGTTACATATTATGCTTGGTTTGAGGTAGCAAGGTCTATAACTTCGAAAACTTTGAGTAGCATCAAAGTCGACGAGGAGGGTCTGCTTTTCGGCTGACTGGTCCTTCAAAGGCCTTTTGTCTCCCTCTCACTGGTTTCATTTCCATGCCGCCTTCGGCTTCTTCAACAAGAGACGCTTGTCTCGTGCCGCGGCGAGGTCCGAAACGTTGGTCCCCTTCCTCGTATTTCTTCTTGAAATGAAGGTACGTGGGCGGTCGCGGCCGTCCAAGAACCGCAATCCAGTTTTTGAGAATATTGCCTTGCGTGAACGGCCGGTGCCGATCCGCCTTGACGAACTTGTGAGAGTTGAGGTACTCTCTGGTTGTCTCCCCTCTTCCCATCAGAAAAAGGTGGTAACCCCAAAGCGATGCCGGGTACGGCGTGACCAGGAGGCCATAAACGAACATTGCAAACGGAATCCTCCGTTGGTTGATTGCAGATCCGAAGGAGACGGCACGCTGGTCCCGATAAGCAAGACAGTCGCCCAAGCTGGCGCCAATCAACAGTAAGCCCAACAGAGTGGCCGAGGAGACAAATGAGAAGAAATAGCGGTAATTGCGTCGGCCAACGCAGTTGTTGAGCCAGACGCAGTGATGGTCTAGTGTTTCGACACAGTTATCACAAACTCGGCAATGATAGCACCGTGGAGGTCGCCAGATGTTGCATGACTTGCAGTACTTCACGGGAACGTCCATAGCAGCAGTGTCAGACGTAGCAAGCCGTATCATGACCCAGTCATTCATTGGCGGGCCGAGAGCCAACGGGTCAGCCCCTGGATCTGGTGGTGGAAAAGGGTGAAGGCTTCGTGGAAAGACCTGTCAAGTCAGCGAATGCAATGTGGTTGGAGTGAGAAGACGTACTCCAGGGTCCACAAGTGAAGCATGTATAAACGAAGACAAGGAAATGAAGAAGAGGTAGGCGAAAACGATCGGGATGGCGGGGGAAACATTTCGCCATAACCATGGCGCGCTGTCTTGATGTTAGCCATCACCAATGATGGATGGGTAGGAAAGACGGACGAGATTGCGAAAAATAATACTGCTGGTAGTACAAGTAGGATGCCTGTCGCTATATTGACTGGACGATCTCTGGCGTTTTGGAACCTGCCACCCCAGCAGAATACCGTGTTCCCTTCAAAGTATTCATAATTCTTTCCAGGTGAAGCTGTTTCGGGGACGACGGTAGGGTTCTGCGTCGAATCAAACCGTGTTGAGGTTGCATTGGAGGGCAGATGTTGGTGACCAGCCCCTATTTGCTGCCTTGATCCTCGTCTTGACCCTAAACTGAGACCTGAACGGAACGAACGTGGAGATTTTAAAGCAGGATCCCCTGAATCCCCCTGTGTGGCGCCCTTGGGCAAATTCAGATGTATGGGTTTGCTCTGTCGCTGACTTGACGCCCTCTCGTTCAGAAGACGTACGCTGTCTCCTAGACTCCTACTGGTGTTGCCACGTGGGTTTGCGTTTGTGGCTCGATCTGGTAGAGGTGGAACTGAGGCTTCGATGCCGCTAGATAGAGGGACTTTCTCCTGCTCTTGCACAGGTAAAAAGGATCCTTGACGCTCTTGTCTGATGGTTGACAGACTACGACGAGTATCGGTCTCGTAATCTCGAGTTCCATCTTCAGTGGAGATAGATGGGCCGGTTTTCGCGGTGCCAGGTCGCCCAAGTCTTTGTGCTTGCAAGTGCTGAGAACTCATCGGCCGAAAAAACCCTTGTGCAGCTAATGATGGTACATGAGACTTGCTAACGTGGCTCACAGGGCTATCTGGTCGACTTGACGCAGTTGTGCTCGTTCCATTCCGCGCATTATTCCTTGCCACTAGAGCGCTCAGGGTTGTTGGTCCTCGAAGCTGCGTGCCGCTTGGCTCTGGTGGTGCTGAAGATTGCGATAAAGGAGAAGGTAGTTTCGATTTAGTCTTCGAAATATCTTCATCGTCGGATAGTTCGGAGGAAATGGCACTTTGAGCGGTGGAGGGTCTATATGACATGCTGAAGGGATCTACGCAAAGGACGTCTTCCTGCAAGACTTAAGCTCGTCACCGGGACATCTTCTGATCTGGCCGCACGTAGCTCAAAGCCGGCAGAATCCCATACGAGACTGCAGGGTCGGTGTGGTGTCAAGCAGAATCCGAATGCGCAGCCGGCTGCTGGTCTTGTCAGCCGAATAGACACGTGAACGAAGGCAAAAGCTAGAGTAAGAAGGAATTTCTAGGCCAGCGGGGGCGTAACGAGCGAAGAGAGCTTGGACAAGAGTACAACCTGTTGTCACAAATCCGCGCAGATTTGTGGGATGCGGGATGAAAGGCAATTCAAAATGTCCAGACTGAGACCTTGGATACTTACCGTGTAACTACTAAGTTAGGCTTACTACTAGTAGTACTAGTACTGCTAGTGCAGGGGTGTAGAGGTTAGCCACTCCCAGTTTGGCTTGGTGGTGTCTTGAAGGAAAGCTGGGACCAGAGGACCAGAGGACTGGAGGAGCAGATAACTAGCACGTAAACTTGCATTCCTGGTCTGTGCACTTGGCTGTACTCCATCCACCCAAGCCAATTGTAAAGCAACTGACCTCACCCTACTAGTAATCAATTGCTCTCACACATACTTGTGAGCTTGAACATTGCCCTCCAATCTTGTTTTACGGACGAATACAATTCTTATATCTCATCATGGCTTCAGCCGCTGCGAATGCTATGAAAGCAGCTGCAAATACAGCTGGCAAGGCGGCGGGTAGAGCTTCAGCCAAGGGTTCACCAGCGGATCGGACGTTGCAGAAGGGTGCAAAAAGAGACCCCGAGCTATACGTAGGACGATCTCAATCCTTATCGTCGTCGTGCTGTTCTGATAAAGTCTCCACTACACAGATCCTCCTTGGCATCATGTCTGGTGCTTTCTGCTTAGCAGGCTACTACTTCGGTCGCAAACCTACATCTGCTACCTCCGAAGCCGAGATTTCTGTGGCCAATAGCTCTATGCCATGGCAGACTGACGACCATGACCACGAGGATGATTCGAAGCAATTCAAATATCGATACCACCCAAGGGGAGATAAGAGTCAGGCACCCAAAAATGCCCCCAGTGCCCTGAATACTGTCATTATCCCAAATGTGACGTTACCAAAGGTAGCTTGATGTATCCAGCAGGGGCTCCCACTCAGACTGACGTTATGGCAGGAGCTTCATGACATGTTCAACAAATGGGGCAAGGATGGTTACTAGCTTGAGCGAGCAGAGGAGCAGACCATAGCGGCGTAAGGGCATTCAACTGGTAGTGACAACAGGAATTAGAAGCACTTCAGTTCAGCATTGTACATAAGCATCTAACGTCTACTGCGGCAAAGGCGGTCACACAGCCTTTCTGTTAATCCACATGAAGCTTTGTTGCGCCATAAGACAAGGTTAACGTGCCGCTTAACACTGCATGTTGTTGCAGTTGCTTATTTTTGGCCTATCTGAGCAAGCATAAAGGTGGAGACACCGGCTTTCTCAAACCATCTAGAATATACATCGACTGATCTTCCAGTTTACCTATACCTTATCGCTGGGCTACTGCAGAACCTCATTTCTCCAGATTGGTCTCTTACTCTACTGCCCCTTGTCATTCGACCTATACGTGCTTCTACTGTCCGTTGCTCTGATGACTATCCCTAAGTCTTCAACGATGCAGCTTGATACCGCTATCGCCAGTGCCGCAGCGGCATACGATCGCTAAAGAATCGTTGGATTTTCCGAGTTCACATACAGTCATTTCACTGGTCCAGACGACATCAAGTTGTCTGCTATCCAAGAGATTGCCAACCAATGCTAGTTCTTTTGAGAGCATGCAGTCGTACGATGCGGATGCAATCCGGGTCGACTCATGTGATTGTGGCCAATTGCGAGTCGGTCTTTCAATTCAGGAATCAATTTCGCACAGCATAGGAGGAGGTTGATGTTTGGTTGATGACAACTTGCGAGGGATCCTGCCCAATGCGCCGATCACCTAAAAGAGTAAAGCGTGTGCCAAGACGTGTCGGCGACTCTGCGATCTCTTCAGAACAAAGCCAACCTTTACTAACGGCATCAACGACGACCTAAGGAACCTTATGACTACTAGTACGGGTCAAAGCCAATCATGGGATCCAAGACACCAGATGATCATCGTCGAGGTCCAAATGGTATGGAAGATAAAGTATTTGGTTTGCATTGTAAGCTATTCTGACACCTTGGGCAGAGTCATCGGCATGCGCTGCAATTGCTACCATCAATCCCCCCAAGCCAGCCGCGGCAAGTGGACTCCTTCATGGTGCATCCGAAGGGGAGGATGAGGACGGGGAGGACGAGGACGATAGCAAGATTGGAGCTGACTTGAAGTCCAGTGGTCAGCCCAACAATAGTAAGCCAACTTGAAGCTAATACATACTTGAAGCTAACCCCAGAAGGCAAGAAGAAGAAAAGAAAGAGTAACAAAAAGAAGAAAAGGAAGGCACTGGGTGGACAGCAGACGATTCCTCCGAGAGTTGCACTGGCCAACCTCTTTCACGATCAGCGATATCCGGAGGGCAAGATTGTCGAATATGTCACCAACAATGACAATCTTCGGCGCACCACGGCTGAAGAACTTCGTCACCTATCCGTCGTGAACAACATGGATGATGAGTTCCTGAATGACTATCGCAAAGCTGCCGAAGTCCATCGCCAGGTCCGCCAATATGTGCAGACGATCGCAAAGCCCGGCATTTCCATGAGCCAGCTTGCTCAAGAGATTGAGGATGGCGTTCGGGCACTGACAAACCACCAAGGTCTTGAGATCGGAGATGCTCTCGAAGCCGGCATGGGATTTCCGACTGGGCTCTGCTTGAACAACGTAGCTGCTCACTGGACTCCCAATCCTGGGGCTAAGGAAGTTATCCTCCAGCACGACGATCTACTGAAAGTAGATTTCGGGGTTCATGTCAGCGGCAGGATTGTCGATAGCGCCTTTACCGTGGCTTTCAATCCGGCCTACGATAATCTGCTCGCGGCTGTCAAGGCAGCCACCAATACTGGACTCAAGGTAGGCGAATCTGCCTTGCATGGCGTCTGTAAAGCTAAATAAATGCCCAGGAAGCTGGCATCGATTCCCGGATCGATCACATCAGTGAGGCAATCCAAGAAGTCATGGAGAGCTACGAAGTCGAGCTCAACCGAAAGATCATCCCTGTCAAAGCAATTCGGAACATCACGGGCCATAACATCCTGCGCTACAAGATTCATGGCGGCAAACAAGTCCCCTTCGTCAAGACCCGAACCACCCAACGCATGGAAGAAGGCGAAGTGTTCGCCATCGAAACCTTTGGCACCACTGGCAAAGCTTATGTCAGAGATGACGTAGGACTTTACGGTTACGGGCGCAATGAGCATGCCAGTGCTGCTGGTCTTCATCATGCCTCCGCCAAGTCGCTGCTAAAGACGATCGACAAGAACTTCGGAACTCTGGTATTCTCTAGGCGTTACCTTGAGCGCATTGGGGTAAAGAATTACCACCTCGGCATGAGATCGCTCGTCTCGAATGGCATTGTTGAGTCTTATGGACCGATGGTCGATGTTCCTGGCTCTTATGTCGCACAGTTTGAGCATGTGAGTATGGTCCACGAGTTGAAGACTGCGAAATATGCTGACGCAATCTTCTAAATAGACCGTTCTGCTCCGGCCTAATTGCAAGGAGGTGATCTCCCGAGGAGACGATTACTAAGGAAGTGTGGGAACTTGGGGATTAAATTGAATCTGCAAATACTGACTGTATTTGATTCTTTGTGTTCCTGGCTTCAACAGTCACGGAAAACACCTTAGTAAAGCATTTCAACATGCCTTACTTGTAGCATATATCGCATCGATGACACTATTTTGAACCGCAATATATCAAGAATAGAACACCACCGTGTTTCATTGTCTCAAGATACTGCGACGTGAAACTCTGCGCTTTCCTTCTATCGCTTATCTACTACCAATGTACCTCCATTTCGAAGAAAGCCGATCCAAGACTTGTTTGCCGTGTGAGGACTATCTAATTAGTAGAAACAAAGCTCATGCACAAGTAATCGAATTAAAATTCTTTCTCTGGATTGGTTCAAGCTCCTTTAGCCTGGTGATGGGATGGTAAAATTCAACATTCTCGCAACAACGTTCTTGGTTCTTTGATCGGGAGAGTTCGTTTCCTGCAACCGATAAGATGCCATCGCTAACATCCACGCCTGTTACAGAGCTCGAGCGTCCAATTCATCGAGCTGCAGCAACAGTGACTGGTCATGTTCCGCATGCGAGATCCAATATTTGCTATCTGATTTGCGGATTCAGAAATGAGACGAAACGGTTAGCGGACGAGGGATGCGAGGAATCGTTGTAGTTATTCGCGCGAGAATTGTAGATACACGGAGCAGCCTTCGATTGAGACTCCATCTCAACTGACAAAAATTAACGCAGACGTGGCTATATTCCTCGAAATCAGTTGTTAGAACTTTAAAGACTTTATCGTCAGCTTACATCCTCTTGTTGAGGAGTGCAAAAGCTCTACTATATCTAAGCTAACCTACAGGTTTCGTGTACTACGTTGTTTTTAGAGCAAAACATGTTGCGGGGTTAGCCGATACTAACCCGAAACGTCCCGATTTCTCAGTTCTTTTGGCCAACCCTCCAGTCTCCTTTGACCCTAAATTGTTTATTAGCGATGGTGATACTAACTTGTCAATCTGGCATGCCACCCTCATCGAATGCTGCTCTCCCGGAATTTCGAGATAGGGCTGTACTTACGGCTCAACTACTACTAGGACAACACTAAGCCTGTATTGTCCTAGCTTTTCCTACTCGTAGGGCGATTTATGTCTCTTAGAAGAGGTTAGACAGCCAAGGGTTGCAGGCTTCGTATTACCTCTTTCAAGACTTCGAACCTCTGAAGCTAACACTGCAAAAATGTCTCGCCCGGAAAGACCTTTGATGGTACTTTGAATATTGACAGCATTTACGAGCAAACCGCACAAGAAGACTGCTTTCTGGATGTGTAGCTCGACATTCTCATGCCTCTATGGTATCTAATGATGGGATAGATATGCAATCTGTTGTTGGTTTCTTCAAGTATGACAAGTATTAAGTCTTAAGAGTCTTTCATTCACATTTTGTGTTTTCTCGACATGCTTGTGTCACATAAAGAAAACGAAGTTCTCTGACCTGGGCATTCAATTTGCATGTTCCTGTGGATGTATGTTCACAATAGAAACAAAAAGCTGAAAAAGCGATTCTGCCATCTCGAACTCCTGCCTACAACCTTGCACAGCAATATCCGTCGTCATATACGGAACACTGGCTCACCCTAATCTCTGTTGTTGAGCCTTCCGCCTGTATTTAGGTATCCCACACCTCTGCGGCTACATTATATCCTCCAAGTGATGAGTTCTGTCCATGTCAAGATGGACGTCAACACCATTATTCAAAGAGCAATGCTTGAGTACGACCACACAAAGCCGTTTGGCGACGAAGGTGCTAATGCTCTCTATCCCTGGTATACCACTCAGCAACGTTTTCTTAGTGCTCCCCAAACCCCTAAAGTTATGGAGGAGGACATGAAAGAGCAGCCGCGACAATTTTCGTGCCGGAGCACACTCGAACGCTTACCACCCGAGATACTCTTGACAATACTAGAAATGGTCGACATTGCAAGCTTGGTCGCTTTTGCTTCAACCAACTCGAATATCAGGCATTACGTCCGCTCCATGCCTCATATTGCCAAGATTTTGCAGGAACCTCATGCCTCGAACGCCATCGCCCGCATGCTCTATGCAGGCACAGCTCGAAATTTCCAGATACGAGCTTTCATGAAAGCCTGGGCATCTTCCTCATGTGATCTCTGCCCGTCGTCGCAGAAGTCCGAGACAGACGCTTTTGCGACCGAGATCTGCTTGTTGCGATGTTGCCGTGTCTGTCGTGGGTGCGAGACGCAGGAGCGTAGCATCTCCTTCTTGCCATTGTCCATGGCAAGCCAGTGCTTTGAGATGGAGATCAGGGATGACATGCACGAAGGAACGGCGCAGGCTCATGTATTATGGGCGTCTGAATGGATTCATGGAACAGGTCGTTTGCCAGCAAAACAGGGTCGTTACAAGACTGTCCAAGTAATATCCACGGATGTGTTAATGCGAATGGTAATTGACAAGTACCGCGCATTCCCTTGTCCAAAGGGATTCATGGGATACATTAGAGATCTCGTGCACAAGTACATGCGTGTTCGAAATATCTCTCGAGCCTCTGTAATGCACGTGCGAATAGCAAAGGCCCTTACCATTCGAGGATTTGGGAGAGCAGTGGATAAAGCATGGGAAGAGATGGGCCTGAGCTTCAAGGCTGCGAAACGTTCCTTAATTGCGTCCCTTCCCTACTTGGAATCCAAGGGGTCCCCTATGGCAGTGGATCGAGGTTTCACGTGTGAAGGCTGTTTCAGGGATGAGCGCCTCGACCGGAGGTCCTTTCTACATAGGTACCCTCGCTCTCGTCAAGTCTGGCTACGGGGACAAGTCATGAACCATTTCATCGAATGTGCCACAGCTCAGGCAATAGCAGCTGGAGGCTATCTCACCATCAAGGCAGAGGACAAGCTGCTCTCGGAGTTGCTTTTCAAAGCGTGTTCGTATTGGCGAGAGCCAGACTCGGTACCGCAGATGGTTCGGAACTTGGTATTCACCAGACCAGGAGAGTTCAACTGGACAGCCCACAACTTCATGCTCTGGCATCAGAAAACCTTGAAATACGTCACCGAGAAGGGCGAAGACGTGGTTCAGCGCAGGGAAAGGATGGAAAACCTTGTCAGGCGATGGGACTACAAGAAGGCGCGCGCCATTCAGCTGGTGAGAAATCAACGTCTGGGTCGCATTTATGCACCCAGCTCCTCTGCGCGATCTGCTTGATCCTTGAATTAGGCTCTAGAGGGAGCGAGTTCGCGGGAGAGGGAACCTCGGAAAGCTATGGCAATTCAATGTGAGAGTCGAAGACGGAAGCCCCTTGCATGATGATTGATGTTGGGAGAGGCTCTGAAGTGCTGGGGAACGAGACGCCATCTTGGAACCAACGGCGTCACATATACTCAATTTCCACATTGCCGCTGAGAACTGGCCTATGGGAAGTATCTATCTTATCAATTCCTTCCTTGTCCATCTCGATTCTTTCACACGCTGCTACTATTCCCGCGCTCGAATGCACCTCCTGACGTCCGGCGCTATACACTTGATCATCCCCTATTTCCCACCAAAATGCTTCTGAAAGAAGTCCCCCAAGCTCATCAAGGCAGACCCCTCACTCCCAGCCATGGCCTTAGCGGCAGCAGCCTTCAATGCCTTTGCTGTCTCCCCTTCAGTCTCTTCCCCGTTATAGTACCTCCCCTCCGCCCTTTGCAAGAACCTAAACATCTCCCTAACATCCTCCAGCACCATCTGCCCATACGTTTGCATCTCCTCCGCACTCTGCAGATACTTAACCCTCGCCTTCTTCCCCGTCACTTTCTCAAATGTCGCCGCAATCTCCTCGGAGGACTTGATGTCACTGTTTGCCTGAACAAGCTTACCGTTGTATTTCGCAGGATCAAGGAGAACACCGTGAACAATATCACCGTAGTCCTGGGCTACGGCGGTGAGGCCGATGCGTTCAGGGTCGTTGCCCCAACGTGGGATCGACATAGTGAGGTAGCCTTCTTCGTCTGGGAATAGTGGGAATCCGCCAAGGACTCCAGCGTATTCTTCGGACAGGAAGACCTCGAGGTACCAGCCACAATCGACAGCGATAACGTTGGTGAACTCTGGGCGGGATTTGGCGTGTTCAAAGGTCTTGTGCTTGTCTGGTAGAAACAGAGGGTCAATTAGTTGGTGCCGGGTTGGGGGCTGAGGTCCGTACTCATCATCATGCGGCAAGAGACCTCGCCCTTTGTTAGGGTCTCGGTGTCGGCTCCGGAGCTGTGGACCAGATTCTTGACGCCGGCCTCGGCGGCTGCGTCGATGATGCTCTTGCCGAGATCGAACTCGTTGGGGCCGTCGGGTTGAGTGACGCTCTGTGGTCTGTGTTCAGGGCAAGATCTCGACACACGTATTAGGCCATCAAGATCAATTTACCGGGTCCTCGGATTGCGTATTGACGAAAGCTCCCCAGTTCCCCTCAAACGCAGCTTTCATCTCATCTTTATTGAAGCCATCTGCCTTCACCATTTCCGCACCCAGTGAAGCAAGGGCCTTTGCGGCATTGGACCCGGGGTTGCGGGTGATGCCTCGGACAGAGAAATTCTTGTTCTTCAAAAGGGAGCGCGCAACGGCACCGCCTTGGTTACCTATCGGAAGGGTAGTAAGTAGCCACTCGCCCTACCAAATGGTAATAGACACAAAGCCGGGGGAAACGCTGTATGACTTCTAGAAAAGAGAGAGATGAGCTAGATGCTCACCAGTTGCACCGAAGACCGTTACGAGCTTGGTCGAAGACATGATCAGAGGATTGAATTCGATGGACAGTGAGAAAAAATACAAGGGTATCACGAAGCTGATATCAGAAAACGTGGAATAGGATATATTTGTTTGATGAGCAGGGACAGTAGGGAAAGTGGTCAGTAGATTTCAGCTTGTTCTTATACTCGCTGCCAGGCACTCAAACAGCTGGGACGTGGGAAAGAGAGGACCATTGGCAACGTCTTGCTGTGTTGCTCCATAAGCGTAGCAGGCAGCTGCAATAGATCGATACGAGGGCTGTAGCCAAGGAAGCCAGAGAATACGAGATAGATGGCATTTCCCAGTCTACAGGACCAAAATCGTGTAGTATGATTCGAAGAATTCGTCCGACAGCATAATAGCGCGACATTTGCTGACGAATGTTGTTCTCGACGTACCGGATCAAGCTCTCTTCGTTTTCAGGCAGAAACTTAGAGGTTCAATGGATAGCTGTGCCCTCAACACTACTACGCGGCCAGATTATAGATAACGTGGGCAAATGACATTTGCAACACACCCCCATTTGCAACATGATTACTTGGCGTTTTGGGGCTTGTAACATATTTCAAGGTTGCTGGCCTTATTCTGGAGACAGAATTCAAGTAGACATTTATATAGACAAACATTGCTTGGTTCTGTCCATTGGATTCATCTCTGTGCTGGTTGCAATTGATCTGATAAAATGGCGGCGAGCTGAAACTGGTGGCTTGAAGGTTTTGGTAGGCATAGAGATACGGGCCCTGAAAGTGTTGCCAATGGGGGGGTGTCAGTTAGTCATGTTATCCCAAAAGGGTTTTTGGTACAAGCATTTGTACAGTCCTCGGCTCGTGTTGAACAACATGAAATCGGAACAAGATACGAGAGGCTTCACTGGATGTGGTAAGGTGTTCAAGGCCAAGACTCTTTCCAAGCTTTCCCAAAAGGGGCGGATTCCAGACGTCGCGCAGACGCGTCGTCCGCCAACCAATCACTATAGCGTTGTGCATGCGGACGTATCGGACCAAGCTGGATTGGAATTGTTCGACCAATACAGAATCTATTAGTATGGCTCCCAACAGTCGAAAACGACGCTCTGAGGTAGGTAGCACAACCAAAGCCCCCAGTATTAGAAGTCTGTTCACCGATCGTCTAGCAGCGCAATGACCCCGAATCCTCAGCTTCAGAATCACCTGCTCGACGTCGCAGAGTGCAACAAGATGGCGACGAAGAAGCTGGCTCCACAGCTTCGGAGCCAGAGACACAAACTCAAACACAGACTGCAACTGGTGTGGAAACGATGATGAAGAAACTTGTGCGGCTAGCACTTTCTTGCGAGTACTCCCGCATACCAATCCGAAGGGCGGACATCAGTACCAAGGTACTTGGAGAGACTGGGACAAGGCAGTTCAAGGTAGTCTTTGAGAGGGCGCAACATGAATTGAGGACGAAGTTTGGAATGCAGATGGAGGAGTTGCCGTCGAAAGAGAAGTTCACAATCTCACAGCGAAGAGGTAAATTAGCTGCCTATGAGCTTGGAAACCGATTTCTGAACACGTATCCGCAGCTGCTCAGGCGTCTCAAAAAGTACCGTCAACGTCATCGAAATCATGGATTCTTACATCTACTCTACCGCCAGAATACAAATTCGACCCGGACATTCTGCCTCCCACCAAAGCACCCTCTGAAAGTACCGAAGCCATATATACTGCGTTGTACAGCTTCATCATAGCCTTGATCCTCCTGAACAACGGCTCCCTGCCTGAGAACAAACTGGAGCGTTACCTGAAGCGGGCCAACGCAGATCAATGGACGCCGATCTTGTCGACGGAAAAGCTTTTGCAGAAACTCGTCAAAGAAGGATATCTGGAGAAACGTCGAGACACAAGCAGCGGTGAAGAGATAATCGAATGGGTCGTCGGGCCGAGGGGAAAGATCGAAGTTGGTGAAAGAGGCGTGCAAGGATTTGTGCGAGCCGTATATGGAGGAAGCGGGGAGGAAGATGAGGAGCTGGAAAGGAAGCTCGAGAGAAGCCTTGGCTTGCAGCCACAACAGCGCGTTGTGGTGGATGAAGGGACAGAGGAGACACCACAAGTCAACGGCAGTGCTGAGAGGTCCAGAACCACAAGAGGTAGAGCTAGGCCAAGCGCAAGGGATGACACTGATGATGAATGATCCCGGCGCATAATGCACGTGGTTTCCCTGCTTGAGTTGATGTTATATGCATTGTTGCGTGATATGTCTACATCAGCCAAGGTCAACCCCTTGCTAGCCAGCTTCAACGTTTAATGATTGGATTATTCAGAGTCTGAAGCGGAGCCTGTAGGTCCATCGTCTCCGTCTGTCTCTTGCGTTTCTTGTTTGAGACCTTCTCTCAATATGTATTCCTGGCTGATGAGCCAGCTCCGCAGCTCGCTCGTCTTGGGATCACACATTTGAGCAGGCGTTCTTCCATGCTTGTCCTTTGTCCGAGGATCTCCACCAGCATCCACAAGCATCTTTGCCATTGCTGTACCTATCTCGATGTCCCGTTCTGTAGCGTATCTGACTGCAGTATGTATGGGCGTCTCCTTATCACGTCGTGTAAATGGGTCACATTCGAGGTACTCAATGTTCAGCAGCTCATCCATTACATCGTCTGCAAGTATTAGCCACTGTAGGTGCAGAGAACTAGAAAACGGTGCATACAGCTTCCATATGTCGCACAAACATGCAGAAGATAATTGCCCATTACATCAGTTGTGGTGTTGAAGAAGTCGGCAATCTTCTCTGCGGGTTGACCACTCATGCCACCTAGAACCTCCTGGAACAACTCGACATTGTCCCTTCGACAGGCCTCGACGATTTGTTCTCTTGGTGACGCACCCTACAAAACCTAGGTCAGAAAGTCGGGTGGAAAGAGTAAAGGGTACTTTGCGTACCTCATTATCAGCCATACCGGCTATGTGTGCCAGTAGGCCGTCCTGTTTACCTGAATGCCACACTTCTTTCGACGACTGGGTGATTGGCACTTCGAGTTGGAAAAGAGACCGTACAGCTGCTCGACGTGGTTTGACTTGACGTGAACGATAACGCCTGAACTCCTGCAAGAGATAGCGGCGATAACGAGGTCAATTGAGGTGATTGTTCACAAGCAGCACATATGAGGACCTGTAGTACACTGTTACTACGTAGTTGTGTTGATTAAAGTTGTTCCTTAGACGCGCGGCACGACGAACCACTTCCAGAATCGATCTATTCTGGGCTTGTGGCTTTTTCTCAAGGTCAATGGATCGACAAGTGGCTTGAGAAGTCCTGCCAAGCCAAATATCCTCGATACTTAGTACTACGTACTACTAGTACTAACTACTAAGTTACTCCGTACTAACTTAGTGATAGTATTGCAGCAGGGCCAAATTAATGGATTGAGTTCTGTCAGGCCTTTCTACCTGGTAACGCATGCACCGTTTTGTAGTATGCCTCCATCATGTAAGCACATGCCATGTTCTTGGAGCCAGCTGCTGATTCAAGACATCAGTCTGCCCGAACTGCGCAAACAGCTTAACAATATCGCAGACTGCTGCCACCGAGGAGTATCCTGCTGGGCTGAACGCTTTCGAGTGCCGAACATGCCCTTATCGCTTTATCCTTGACAAGCCGTACTTCGAAAGAACTTACATGAAGAAGAAGCAGCGAGACGATGTGCTTGGAGTAGATGACACGAATCTCCCTGTCACAAAGAGTATGTCCTTGGCGTCTTTCCGGAAGTCAACAACATGCTAATATACTGCTCCAAGTCCCTAAATGTCAGGCTGATGATTGTACGAATCAAGAGGCCTATTTCTATCAAATGCAAACAAGGAGTGCGGATGAGCCGCCAACCAGCTTCTACAGAGTGCGTTCTAGCAACGCAATATTCATCGAATCTTGTAGCTGATGACCTGTAGTGTACCAAATGTTCAAAGCAATGGCGGGAGTACTGAAGCGATTGAGATTCTGAATCCGGACAGAGATAGACGGCCATCAGAGAGCACCAACGGGGATATGCTAACGAGAAGTTGAATACCAGCCATTGTCAGAAGCATATACAGATGGGATACATTCTCACTCTTAGCACAACGATGCAGCCAAACGGCCCTACAATCAAGAAGCCCAATCAGAAATCGTTAGCACACACTCGTCAGAGCAAGCCTGATCTCTTGAAGCGCGCAGAACAGACATGCCACAGCCACGACGCACTGCTGTCTGCAATGGAGTTGGAAGCGACCATCGGTTAGTATTCAATGCACGGGACGGAAAGCGGAGACTGTCCACCGGTATCTCATTGTCCCTGTGACAGGGAAAACGGCGTACATGAGCGAGGAGAACCTGACCTGGACCCCTTGCCTTCCCTTAGGAAGCATCAACCCAGACCGTGCTCGAACTCGGCAGTACAGTATGGCAGATGTCTTGAGGTAGCCAAGTCGACAGATACAAACAGCTCGAGACGCAGGGATTGTCCTACGAGAATAGGCGTCTGGCCGTCAAGTGGGCCGTGTGTGGTAAGTGGTGTCTGATGACTCTGGACTGTTGTCCGCTTGCAATCGAGCACATTGTGTAACCGCTTACGGAGGCTTCCCAACACTCGAGTCTCTGCAGTTACTGTGTTGGTTTGCCTAAGGGTTGAAACTCCGATGCGTCTTCTCCGTGATGCTCATAACATAATCACAGATAGACTTCATGAGCTAGCTGCTCACAGTATATTCCTCCTTTCCAACACGTCTATTCCCTTCCTTCACGGGCCTTTTGATCACTGATCACAGTCGAATGCTCCTCTTCGAAACAACGTCCCCATATCCCAAGCTAGATTGACATCAAGTATTCTCGTATGAGTCACATGCGATCATCTCACCTCGTCATTGATTGTTGCCCTGGACGAGAGGCGTTTGCCGTAGAACGCATAGCAAGGGGTTCTCACAAGAAGTAGTACTACAGCACTCAAGGATATAGTTTAGATAAATTCTATCAATGTACATCTCCACGTAGCCTAGGGTGACATTAGAAATGTTCGCAACACCGAGTTGATTCCCAGGCAGTTAAAGAAATGCATATGTCAAATACTACTACTGCAGATATGTTCCAGTAGAGATGGTGCCCCGCTCTGATTGGCTTGCCAAGACCCGCAGCTGGTGAATCATGCCTGGCCGCCCCTCCATCTTTCGCCCTCTACAAAAGCCTGGCCGCACACACAAAATTCCTTTCTTTCTCTTCGTCGCTCAGTGAGTCCATCCACCACCACCATTTTGTTTTCATTCTTATACTAATCATCAATAGCACCTCTACGCACATAGGCCGTGGTATCTGAGCATTTCACTTGATATCTTCTAGTCTCTTCCAAAGAACTACAAGACTTCAAATCACTCTTCCCACACTGCCGCCAACATGGGGTAAGCAAAATTCTGTACAGCCACGATGCGAGCTTCAATTATCCCTCGGCTGAGTCGCACTACCTCAATGATCATCGCTAATCTGTCCTCTTGCTTCACAGTAAAGAAAAGACTCACATCAACGTCGTTGTCATCGGTCACGTCGACTCCGGCAAATCTACCACCACCGGTATGAGCTGAATCCCAGCCTTACCATCACTTCGTATACTCATACAATTGGAATAGGTCACTTGATCTACAAGTGCGGTGGTATTGACAAACGTACCATCGAGAAGTTCGAGAAGGTTAGTCTTTTGGTCAAGTCTTACTGTCAAGTCACTTCTGCCTTTTTGTCCATTCGGAATTTTGGTGGGGGAGGGGCAAATCACATTCAGCTTTTGAAACTCACCCGTGCAAAGAAATTTCCTTATCCTTACCACCCCACTATCAAAACCCCTAACCGGCATCTTTTCATGATGGCTAACCTCATCTCAGGAAGCCGCTGAACTGGGCAAGGGCTCCTTTAAATATGCCTGGGTTCTCGACAAGCTCAAGGCCGAACGTGAGCGTGGTATCACCATTGATATCGCTCTCTGGAAGTTCGAGACCCCCAAGTACTTCGTTACTGTCATTGATGCCCCTGGTCATCGTGACTTTATCAAGAACATGATTACTGGTACCTCTCAGGCCGATTGTGCCATTCTCATCATTGCCGCCGGTGTTGGTGAGTTCGAAGCTGGTATCTCTAAGGATGGTCAGACTCGTGAACATGCTCTTCTCGCATACACCCTTGGCGTCAGACAACTCATCGTCGCTATCAACAAGATGGACACCACCAAATGGTCTGAGGATCGATTCCACGAAATCGTCAAGGAAACTTCCAACTTCATCAAGAAGGTCGGCTACAACCCCAAGACTGTTCCCTTCGTCCCCATCTCCGGCTTCAACGGCGACAACATGATCGATGTCTCACCCAACGCACCATGGTACAAGGGCTGGGAGAAGGAGACCAAGACCAAGTCAACCGGCAAGACCCTTCTCGAAGCCATTGACAGCATCGACCCTCCCACCCGACCAACCGACAAGCCGCTTCGTCTTCCCCTTCAGGATGTGTACAAGATTTCCGGTATCGGCACAGTTCCAGTTGGTCGTGTCGAGACTGGTATCATCAAGGCCGGTATGGTGGTCACCTTCGCTCCCGCCAACGTTACCACCGAAGTCAAGTCCGTTGAAATGCACCACGAACAGCTCACCGAAGGTGTCCCAGGTGACAATGTTGGCTTCAACGTCAAGAATGTCTCTGTCAAAGAAGTTCGTCGTGGAAACGTCGCTGGTGACTCCAAGAACGACCCTCCCAAGGGTGCTGATTCTTTCAACGCGCAAGTCATCGTCCTGAACCACCCAGGTCAAGTTGGTGCTGGCTATGCACCGGTACTCGATTGCCATACTGCACACATTGCTTGCAAGTTCTCCGAGCTGCTTGAGAAGATTGATCGCCGAACTGGAAAGTCTGTCGAGGACGCTCCTAAGTTCATCAAGTCTGGTGATTCCGCCATCGTCAAGATGGTTCCATCCAAGCCAATGTGTGTTGAGGCATTCACTGACTACCCACCTCTTGGTCGATTCGCCGTCCGTGACATGAGACAGACCGTCGCTGTTGGGTGAGTTTGACTTTTCCTTATCTCTCCGGCTCTACTAATGACTGTATAGTGTCATCAAGTCGGTTGCCAAGACCGACAAGGGTGGTGCTGGCAAGGTCACCAAGGCTGCCCAAAAGGCCTCGAAGAAATAGAAGGTGTTGGCAAGGGAGAGTGAGAATTGTTTGTGGTGGATTGTGATCAGCCTCAGGGGATCATGGTCCGGTTTCACAGCCAGTTTACTTGGGTCTTGTCGTTTACATGCTTCCATTTCGTGAGCTCTAGCCGGTGCTTTAGGGTACTTGACAGAGCATGGCTCTGATGTGATACGAGGTTTTCTTTCCAGTATCACGATATGGGGTCAGGGCAAAAGCTGTCTAGGTCATTCCGTCCAAGATAGAATACGGTCTTCTATTACTAGGCAATCAACATAATAGAAGGTCAACCATGCTTATCGTGACTGCTTCTTGTAAGATACAATCATTCCCCTTTCCTTTAAGCTTGTTATAATCATGCTCAATTCAGCCATTGAATCTAGCTTTGCTATGGATATTGCCAAGATTTTATATTGAGCAGCATCATTGTTCTTGACTACCCTAAAAGATATTTCGTAGCAACCTTACACCAACCTGGGCCAATTGATATCCAGATTTCTCGGATCTGCGCTCCCGCTGGCTCGATGGCAGAGAAAGCCGCACCATGCGTTCAGCTCGCTCTGGAATTCGGCTACCGTTCCCAAGAGTTTGTTCTTTTCCTCCTTGCCTTCAGCCTGATCCCTTTTTCTTCCTCTCTTACACCGCTTCGAGTAGCGTCGTTCCCTAAGAATCCTTGGGATATGGACTGCGAGGGAGAGAGGTTGAGGGGTTGAAATACTATCCGAGCTCGCGCGTTGGGTAGGGTTGGGTGGAGTGAGGGTTCTGCGGTCCCGATCCTTTTTCTAGGAGGGGAGGTGATGAGGTGACCCAGCTGAGATCGGATATTGGTGGCATGACTTTGTCTTTGGCCGATATCAGTGACGTAGGCTAACTTACTTAGCCTCGTCTTCTCGTGAGCACCTCCATTGTGTCTTCCCTATACGCGCTTCCTTCCTTCTTTTCTTTCTTCCGCCTATCGGCAACGTCTGTATCTCCTCCCTTCTCCTCGTGCCGACCGTCTTCAACCCTTCTCCTCCTTCACCTCGGACTCCTCCTTGGGCAATAAATCTCCCTGGCCTGGCTGACCCATCTTCACACCCACTCCATCCTGTTCCGTCTCAACAGCAGTACTACTCGTCCCACCACCACCACTACCAACGACTAACAACTTCTCGATCACATCCGGCCGGATCATGTCCCGCCGAAACTGCTCCTGCTGCAGCAACTCTAGATTCCGTAGTGTGGCGCCGGGATGGGTGAGGAAGCGCGCGTACTCGGGTTTCCGCCAGTAGCTGTAGAGGTAGGAGAGGTAGGATGCGAATTTTGTGGCGTCGGATTCGGGTTCGGGTTCTGGTTCTGGTCGTGAGGTGGAGTTGGATGGTTTGGCGGAGGGTTTCGAGTCTTTAGGTGGGTTGAGGAGGTGTGGGTAGGTGAGGGCCAGGTGCGAAAGGTAGTAGGGGTTGGAGAGGGAGAGAACGAACTCGAGTTCGAGGGTGAAGCGCGGGGATGGGGGTTTGGGTGCGGTTGCGGTGGTGTTGGAGGGGGACGAGAGGGGTACTGTTGTTGTTGACATCTCCACTGAAGAAGGGCTGTCTGGATATGGATATGCACAAGGCTGGCGGACATACGCTTGCTTAGAGCGTTGTCCTTTCAGCGGCCGTAAATGTGGTCTTGTCACAGGTGACGGCGGACAGCACGTTGATACACACTGCTTTGTTGAGTTACTTGCCTGGAGAAGAGCTCTGAAAATGACGCGTTATTGGTCCGGAGGTCCTTGGTAGGTTAGCAGATGGTTTGGCATTACAAGACCGGCAAAGGGCCATTGGATGACCATAATCTGACCGTCATAACTATGGACGTCTAGATTAGCATAATGTTATTTGATTCCGGATATCTTAACAACATATTTCTATACAAACTAGATCATATTTTCTTAGTCCCAGACTAAGCACACATTGATGGTAAGTTAGACACAGTTAACTACGTAGTAACTTTCAGAAAGTATCTTTCAAGTTGGCTGTTCGGGTGGCGTTGCTGGCGCAGAACCAGTAGAGAAGCCATGACCATTGATTGACTTGCTGAATCCTGCAGAATAATGCAGATGTCACGGAAAGTTGTGCAAGACATGCCGCTGCCAGGCTGTTAATTCGCATCTATTTGCAGCCGGCCATGCAGCCATGCAACCATATGGTGAAGGCTCGGATCCGAAGTCCAGCTTGCAGGAGAGAAGTATCTACATACTACGTCAGGCACGGCTGCTCTGAGAAGTGCTTTCCAATGCTACATGATCAACAACAGCTGCCCTTGTGCTGCAGTAACCTGGTATTGGTATCACTATTGCCAGCAATACACATGTAAAGTGTTGAAGCAGGAGTCTTCTTGGCTGTCGATCGAAATCTATCACAAGGACCTAGCTAAGGATAAGCCACTGGTGATACTGAATATGGAGGCTGGGAGCTTGATGGGTGGGATGATGGTTCCCCTTGGTGACGCTCGCAGCCAGCCAGGGCCGAGGCCCATACTACGTAGTAGATAGAATTGGTGGGCGTCTTAGCTCCTGCATATCTGTCACAAGAAATGGGACTATCCAAACGTAAAAGTCGGCCTAGAACAGCCCAGTCATTATGACGCTTTGGATGTTGCCCAGACGGCCACCAATCCTGTCTATGGGCCTCGGCCGATTCTTTAACTACTCAGGCCCCCATCTTACAAGGCCCTCGGGTCAAGGACGATAAGTAGTAGTAATGAAGTTTAAGTTATTGGCAGCAGCACCTCGCCTTTGTTCCAGGCCTGATTCTGCTTCTTCGTGGTGGCTTGCCTGCACCTTCTACAGCCTTGTCCTGTCCTGTCCACTTTGGGAACGCGTGGCGCATTTACTCTGTATTCGACCATCAGTTATTATTGTGGCTATTCTTCCAACTCCTCTACATCTCCTCTGTCCCACAGCATAGATTCTTTGCGCCAGTATATCTTGCTGTTGCATTTCCTACTCTTGGTCATCGCAGATACCAGACAGGTGACTGGTAGAATCTTGGATAAGCATATCGATTGTGGAGGCAATGCTCAGCAGTTGATTCGTTCCCCTTAGAGTTCTTGGTCCAGGCGAGAAAACACAGCACTCCACTCCCCTTCGCCATTCCACCTACTTTACCGAACTGCGATAACCATCACACCTTACCCTTGTATCCGTTCGCGCCCCGAGGTTGTCTCTGCCATATATTTCGCTTGCTGTATTTTCTGATTTCAGAAATACTGTACTGTACTGCTCGGCGCCAAACCACAAATATAACCTCACAACCACAACGCCGAGCTTCCATTGAAGTATGGCCTCGCTTACCGCTCAGCCTCCAACAGGTCAGTATCCTTGCTTCCCCATGATTTCTGGCTACGGTGACGTGCGATGTATGGCCCCCCTGAGTGTCACCACTTGCGGGAACTCTTTTTCTTGCCGTGAACCAGTCCCCGGGCCAAAATGATTTCTAGTGCACTGACTGACACCCTTGCTTCTGCTAGGCCGTGGCCCTTCACCTCTCCTTTCCAACAATCCTTTTAGAAACCGCAACGGTCCTCCCAGTCCCGCGCTGCCCAGTCCAACAACCAACGGTCGACCAGTTTCCAGAAATCCGTTCCTTGATACAACAGACATGGCAGCTCCAGCACACGCCTCCACCACAATGACACCACAACCTGTCAAGCCGGCTTTTGGCGACAACACAACAGAGCTACTGGTATGCAAGAATCTGGCGTTGTATAGCCAACACATCTAACAAAGATGATTACAGGAAAATCTGAGCATATCCGAACTGCCAAAAAGGCGACCACCACCACCGCCTCCCACTCACACCAATGGTGCGAGCACCAGACCAGAAAACGTACCCCCTGGATCACGAGTTCTGCCACCACAATTAGATGAACTACGACACCAACACATAGGGAAGCCAAGGGGTCCACCCGGTGAACTTAACATCTTTACCGACCCGTCTCGTGATCGTCGGCCAAGAAGCAACTCCGATACTTCAATGCGTGACAAAAGCACCAAATTCCTAGATCCAAATGATGACAGAAGACGACGCGAGCGTCGACATAGAGACCCAAGAAAAGATGGAAAACCAAGAGCGCCCAGTCGCAGATTGGACGTGATTGACAAGTTGGATGTGACAAGCATATATGGGACTGGTCGTGGGTTGCCTGCGGATCATCCATCTGAAGTATGCTAACCATAGAAGTCTTCCACCACGATGGACCTTTTGATGCCTGCAACCCACATCGAAATCGGAAGGGATCGCGAGCGGCTCCAATGCAAGCATTCCCCAAAGATTCACGGAATATGGCAATAGGAGGGTCAGGCCCCAATAATTCCAACATCGATCTTGCCCAATTCCATGGTCAAGGTGAAGAGGGCTACAATGACTATTCGACTAGTGCTGTGGTTGACGAATACGGCGATGGTATCACGAGACCCGACGTCGCTACCAGAAGCGCCAGCTTCCATCCCATCACCAGAGTTGAGCCTTTGCACGGGGAGGAAAGCATGGGACTGGGAACAAGCACGTTTCTAGAAGGGGCTCCTGCAAGCAAAGCCGCTCTTCAACGACGCGAAAGTGATTACGATGAGGTACAAAGCGGTTCTGGAGCTGGTTTGGGAAGAAAGAAAAGCTTGGCCATGAAGATCAGAGGCATTTCGAACAATCGCGTGGTTACCGGAGGAGGGAGAACCACCTCGCCCGAGCTTGGTGAGAGACGAGTGAGAACACCAACAAGCCCGCTGCGAAGCAGTCAGAGCATGCAGGACAACAACCCGTTCTTCAAGGACTACGATCGAGAGTACGAGAAGAAGGGTGCTCAGATTGTGTTTGCCGAGGAGAAAGCTGGGCGGACGAGAGCACCCAGTAGTCCGAAACAACGAGGGTCGGGATTGGAGAGAAAGACTACCAGCGAGAGCGTGGGTGAAGAGCCGAAGGCCGGTGGCGGAGGATTCTTGAGTCGGGTCAGGAGCTTGAAGGGCGGACCCCGCAAGGCGAGGGGTGACAGGAGAGAAGCTTCTTGAACAGCGACACTTGTGATTTGGTAACTCTACTAATGGTCAGGCCAGCCCTTAGATTGACTGTCTTAGATTTGGATAGTCACGGCCATGAGGAGATGGCGATTCACGGAAAATTCAACTACTTTCTTCCAAGAGATGCGGTTGTTGTCTCCAGCACACCAGCGTTGAACTGCAAGTTCCTCCAGTTCAGCAGGATGTCGTCCTTGATTTCGTTCACCATTTTTCCACGAGTTTTTGGGCATTGACATTGACATTGGCTTTTACATTCGCGTTCCACCTCTACGCCTCTCTCGTTCGCGAACAAGTCCTGGGGATCTGCCTTTTTTGTTTTTTTATCGTTCATGAGCATTCTACAGAGCGTACCCCACCCAGCAGGTTCAATGTGATACTTACTCTACATCTACACCGACTTTTTTCTTTTTTTCCCCCTTTTCTTCGTATTGCTCCCGAGTGATCTCTGGATGAGGGATTGAGTCCCTGGGAGGGCAGTAGGAGAGTTCGGTTGGGGATCTCCCAGTTTCTCCTTTCTCTTTCTCTCTCTCTCTCTCTCTCTCTCTCTCTTCTTTTTCTATCGATGATCTATACTGGTTAGGCTGAAAAAAGGATAAGAGGGAAAGAGAAGGGGGGGGGGAAGGGTATGTGGTGCTGATGGTTATACTCAACACACAGCACGAAGTTCATGAAAAATGTTGTTCGTATTATTATTATTTTTTGCATTTCCTGGTGTTCTTTTTACCTTGTGGTAGTGATTCAGGTTATGGGTCATGGACTTTGCCATCTTCTTTCTTTCTTGGAGGGGTTGGTTCTCACGAGGTCTGTCTGTCTGTCGTGCAAGTCGAAACGAAATGAATGAGTGAATGAATGAAAGAGAGAGAGAGAGAGAGAGAGAGAAAGAAAGGAGAAACTGGGAGGTCCCCAACCGAACTCTCCTACTGCCGGGAGAAAAAGGCTGAACTATATGCAAAACTTTCTATACTTCCTATACCGAGCTGTTAGACAAAAGCTAGTTTACGGTCCTCTGAGGGCCGCAGGCCTTTTGGTCCAACACGAGCTTCCACCTTCCACCTTCTGTTTGCGCCACTTGGTGAGATTGAGATGGGAGAATAGAGAAAGAGTAAGAGTAAAGGGGGCCAGACAGCTACGAATGGCAGGCGCATATGAAGGCTTCTCCTTCTTCTTCTTCTTCCTCTTCCTCTTCTTCTTCTTCTTCCTCTTCCTCTTCTTCTTCTTCTTCCTCTTCCTCTTCCTCTTCCTCTTCTTCCTCTTCCTCTTCCTCTTCCTCTTCCTCTTCCTCTTCTTCTCTACCCTACCCTAACCACGTAGATGGACGAACGGGTGCTCGTGTTCAAAAAGGACCAACAACGCATAACAAGACGTATATCTCGTCATGTCTTTGTATTGGAGGATGAGGAGTTGGGGGAATGCGAAATGCGGAACAGATGCCATGGATACTAATATCGAACTTTTCCGCCGGGTTAATCTTTTTGATTTGTATATAATGATGACGACGACAACGATGATAATCTTTGCCAAGTACCAGTAAAGGCCGTAGTAGTAGTAGTAATAATAATACAACAGAAACGACAGATTTGATTCCCCCCTCCAACCCCACCTACCAGTTCCCACATCGTAGATATTTCACATTGATGCATATGGGTCCCACCAATCCAACCCTCTCTCTCTCTTTTTCCTGCCATGAAATGAAATCCCACCCACACACCACTCCTTTCTATCAATCAAAGACATGACATTTTTACCTTGACGGCTCAAAACTTCCCCTTACCCACATCCTCAACCCCCTTTCCGACCTGCTTGGTCGTGTCCTCGACCGTGCCGGTGATGCCCTGCAACCCATCCCCGACCGCCGTGGTGCCGGTGGTAGCGTTGACCGTGTCGCCGAGCCCTTTGCCCGTCGCGCCAACCATGCCGCCCACTGTGCCGAGGAGGCCGCCTGCGAGATTGCCGACTGTGCTGTTTGGGGGGGGAAGAGGTTTTAGTGGGATTGTGATTGGATGGGAGAGGGAAGGGGGAGGGGACGGGAGTGATGGAAAGATATTTAGCGAAATTCTTTGCTTGGGATGGGGGTGAGATAGTATGTGTATTTGTATTCGAGGGAATTGTGTAGAGCTGGGACCGAGTAGAAGAATGCAAAAAAATGGACATACCTAGTCACGCCAGTCACGCCGTCCTTGACGCCTGAGGCTACGTTGTTGCTGTCGGGCATTTTTTTTTGGCTGCTGAGAGAGACACTTGTGATACGAGTTTGGGTGTGATGTGGGATTTGAATTTAGTCTTTGGACGTTGGGGTATCTATTGTACGAGGCTCTCTGATGATGTTTGGTTGTGAAGCTTGCGCCACAGTATAATATGTTTGGGAGGTGGGATGTGGCTTTTATGCAGTTGTGACTACGAGCTGGTGGGGGGAGATGGGGGGAGAAGTGACGCGTGCTCCCTTGTGATGTGTGACGTCGCATACGTAGTATTTCGCTACAGATGTCATGGTGGATACGGCGGACTATTACGTGCTAGAGCCCAA